TGTGCGCTGCAAGCGCCAGGTGAGTCGCACTCCTCCCTTCAGAAGTGTTGACTGAGCTATTGCCAGGTTCTGTATTAGACTCGAGGAGTATACTGGAAACAAAATGGTCGTGCTCTCAGCTTAAAGGGCTTTCTGGGGACCTAGGGCAATAATGCAGTCAGTAAAGTGCTTGGTGTAAGCATGAGGTCCTGAGTGCAGTCCCCAGAACCTGCAGAGATGGCTTAGCCATGAAGAGTCCTGGCTACCCTTCCAGAGGACCTGGGTTCAGTTCCCAGCACCCATGTGGCAGCCCATACCTATCTGTAACTCCAGTTCCCGACCTCACAGCCTCTTCCGGTCTTCTTGGGCACCAGGCACACATGTGGTGAGCAGACATTCATGCAGTCAAAACACCCATGTACATTAAATAAAATAAATAAAAGTTTTGGCTGGGCAGTGGTGGCACATACCTTTAAACCCAGCACTACAGAGGCAGAGGCAGGTGGATCTCTGAGTTTGAGTCCAGCCTGGTCTACAGGACTAGTTCCAGGACAGCCAAGGCTATTATACGGTGAAACCCTGTTTCAGAAAACAAACGAAAGAAAGAAAGAAAGAAAAATTGAAAGCTGGGTTAGAGCCAGTGAGTCAAGGTATCCTCACCAGACCTGACATCCTGAGATCGAGGTCCAGGACCCACGTAGTCGAAGGGGAGACCTGACTTGTGCTGGCTGTTATCTGACCCCCACACACGCTGAATTTTTAAAAGAAAAATGTGATGCGGAGTCTGATGGTAGGCGCTTGTAATTCCTGCACTGGCGGGGGCGGGGGCCGTTGACAGGTGGACCCTGGGGTCTGCTGGCCAGTTACCATGTCCTGTTGGAGTTCCAGGCCAGTGAGATGACCTGTCTCACAAAGAAGTGGTACAAGGCATTCTACTCTGGCCTCCACGTACACACACATGCACAGAGAACAAAGGCTTCCTAGGGAAGGAGCCAGGTTAAGAGAAAGAGGTAAAGGAAGGGAAGAGAGTGGCTGCGACTACACGCAGGCAGGAGTGTGTCAAGACGCGAGGAGAGCCTAAGCTGCTAGAGCAGCCTAGAGCGCCGGGAGATGGAGAAGCCGGACAGGCGCTTCCTCCCCCTTTAGTTTTGGCTTTCTGAGAGAAGACTGCCCACAGTGGTCTAAAACTTGCTGCCATCCTGCCTAATCCTCACGAGTGCCAGGATTACGGTGTGCTCTATCATCACACCCAGCCACGCCTCCTCAGAACTGTTGAAGCACAGACCTACAAGTTAGGAAGCCAGCCATGCACAAAGTACTTGGGGCAAAAAACAAGCCACAGAAAGGCCACATTCAGGAAAAAAGAAAAAGATGGTGTGTGGCTGGAACCCTGAGCAAGAGTGAGAATGGCAGGGCAGCCCTTGAGGCCGAGTGATCCAGATGTTTGGCTTTCATTTTGAGACTAAGCACAAGGTGACACTGCCATCTGTCTTGTAGAAGGTTGGTTTGATACAGAAAGCCTTGTATCTGCTACAGAAAATAACCAAATGAACCCCTGTGTCCTACCACCACGCCTCAGGGTTGGCATGCTGCTAGCACTAGGGAAGGTCCCCGACATCCATTTGGAAAGGGAAAACTGGGATGGGAGAGACAGGGCAGTAAAACCCAAGAGAGCATTTGAACATAGATTTGACAATTACCTGGAGTAAGGTGAGAGTGTAGGAACAAAGAGGTGACGTTTGGATGGGAACAGCCAAGGTTTATAAACGAATGTATAATGGTTGGGGAAATGAAAAACAGTGGCCCCTCAATTTTAGGATCTGAATGAGTGGTAGATAGCAGTAATGTAACTGAGGTGGGACCCATGGGTGTGAGAAGCAGGACCAACAGGGCAGACTAGGGCATGGGGTAAAGATTCCATGCATGGCCCACTTTCCTCCTGGCAGTGGGAAGAGCAGCACAGAGGACGGAGCTGTGAGGATTTCCAGAACTGGAAACGCACCAATGACCCAGAATACCAGGCTCAAGGCCTGGCGATGTATCTTCAGGAAAATGGCATTGGTAAGGCTACCCCACTGAGCCTGTCAGATAGTCCTATGGGCAGAAGCTTCCTTCCTGAGGGCCCAGATTGCAGTACTGCACTCACCCTGAGCTACTGCCCCTTACAGACTGCCCGAAGTGCAAGTTCTCCTACGCACTGGCCCGAGGAGGCTGCATGCATTTCCACTGCACTCAGTGTCGGCACCAGTTCTGCAGTGGCTGCTACAATGCCTTCTACGCCAAGAACGTGAGTTCAGAGAGCGGGGGAGGAGAGAAGGGTGGGCAGCTGTGGGGTGTGGGGGCAGGGACTAGGGAAAAAGGAATGGTCAGCAGGATAGAAAGCATCTCTCTACCCTCTTCCCCCCTTTGCATGCTCCAGACCCTTAATGTCACAATCTCCTCTCACTCTCATGCCCTCCCCCCTTGCACAGGGGTTCTTGGGAGTCCAGGACCCCAACAGGTTCCAACTTCCTTCTCCTATTTGGGTTTTACCAGAAATGTCCAGACCCTAATTGCAGGGTGAAAAAGTCCCTGCATGGCCATCACCCTCGAGACTGCCTCTTCTACCTACGGGATTGGACTGCTGTCCGGCTCCAGAAACTGTTGCAGGTCAGAGAGGGCCAGCCAGGCTGGGGGTGCAGATTACTAGGAGGAGACAGAGTACGGGATGGGCAAGAATGGAAAACACTGACTACTAGGAAATGGGACGGGCTGGATAAGGGAAGCAATGCCTATCCGTCTCTACTTCTCCCTAGGACAATAATGTCATGTTTAATACGGAGCCTCCAGCTGGGACCCGGGCAGTCCCTGGAGGTAAGTGTTAGGGAAACCTCTGAAGTGGAGATGGTATACTGGGCTCCCACTGTGGTGGGTAAAGAAAGGGAGGCTTGGATCTGGGGTTGTGTGGCAAGGTAATGAACAACCTCTCCATGTTTTGTTTCTTCCTGTGAAGTGAGGATAATATCCACCTAATGGTTAAGCTGTATTATGAGGTATCATTAAAGCACTTGGCCCTTAAGTCTCCTCTTGTGTTCTCTAATGGTTAGGATTCGATAATTAACATCGAGTAACTAATGATGCCTGCTAGTTGTTTTAGGTTTTAGGCTACTATTTTAGGTTCTGTGTGGGGAACAGAAGATGTTGAGTAAGGATCTAACCTGCACTATTCAACTTCTAGGCAAAGACCTCCAGAGAGCTGGTCTATGGTGGTACACGCCTTTATCCCAGCAATTGGGAGGCAGAGGGAGGTGGATCTCTGTAGTTCCAGCCCAGCTTGATCTATAGAGAGAGTTCCAGGACAGCCAGGGCTGCATAGCGAACCCTGTCTCAAAAAGTAAACAAACAAGACCTTTAGAAAATAAATTGGCTGTGTAGGACCTAAATAACAACCAGGAGACCAATTTTAAGAGCATGTGACAGACCAGCCAAAGCTATGCAGTGAGACCCTGTCACTGTCCCGCCTCCCTCCATAAAAGAGCACGTGATTATGGGTCATAAGCCACTGTGATAGAAGTGAGGCAGCCAGGCCTCCAACCATTCCCAAGTCTCTCTGGCTCCGAACCCTTCTCCAAAGTGTGACATAACCACTACTGACAAGCAGGTTTCCTGGGCTCAGAGGCCCTCCCAACATGGACCCGTTCCTTCCTTCCTCTTAGGTGGCTGCCGAGTGATGGAGCAAAAAGAGGTTCCCGATGGGTTCAGGGATGAGGCCTGCGGCAAGGAGACTCCAGCTGGCTATGCCGGCCTCTGCCAGTGAGTGCCTGCCAGAGCATGGAGCATGGCATGGGGATGAGGTCTATGCTGGCCTCTGCCAGTGAGTGCCTGCCAGAGCATGGAGCATGGCATGGGGATGAGGTCTATGCTGGCCTCTGCCAGTGAGTGCCTGCCAGACCGTGGAGCATGGGGATGAGGGCTAGGCTGCGCAGGCAGGAAGACGGGGTCTCTGTTGGTCCTTCAGGAGGAAGGGACAGAGGGAGGGGCGCCCTGGACAAGGGTGTGGATGTGTAACAGCAGGCAGCTTAGAGATACTGGTGGACACTCCCTGCAAGTAGAGCAGGCAGAGGAGCTATAGTCTTGTTCATGTAAGAATCCCAGTGTGGCCGGGACAGCCAAGGCTATGTCACAGAGAAACCCTGTCTCCAAAAACAAACAAACAAACAAATCCCACTGTGATCCGCTGAGAAAACTGTGGGGGTGGGATGGGGGGGTTAAAGGTGCTTAGTGCCCGACATAGGGACCGGAGTTCTGCCCCCGAAACCCACATGGTAAAAGGAGAAAACCAACTCACAAGTGGTCCTCTGACCCACCTGTGTTCACTGTGACATGAGTATGGGTGCTTACAACATAACACACAATTGAAAAAGGAGAAATGGCAAAGCCCAGCAAGGTGTTAGCCTCACACGGTTAATAGTATCACACTCTTAATAACGGAGGAGTACACGTTCTGCTTCCTCCTCTCCCAGGGCACACTACAAAGAATATCTTGTGAGCCTCATCAATGCCCATTCGTTGGACCCAGCGACCCTGTATGAAGTGGAGGAGCTGGAGACAGCCACTACACGCTACCTCCATGTGCATCCCGAACCAATGGATGGAGAGGATCTTCCTGCCTATCAGGCTCGATTGTTACAGGTAACGCTGTCAACAGCAGCTGCCCCTCTGCCCTTACCTTCCAGAATCACCTGTCACAGCCTGTTTCTCTTCTCCTTTGCAGAAGCTGACAGAAGAGGTTCCCTTGGGACAGAGTATTGCCCGCAGGAGGAAGTAGCTGAGGGCAAGGGTCCTGATGAGGCTTCACCACCCTGGCCTCAGCAGCAGCTCCTTCCGGCACCAATAAAGAGGCGTCTTATGGCCTAGGCTTCTTGGTGGTCCTTCTTCCTGGCCTCACCATCTAGGGGCCTTGGGGAAAGGGAGGGGGTAGGTGAACAGAATCTTGTTGGAAGGGCCTTCAGCAGCCTACTCTCCCCTCCCGGACTCCTGGCTAGAAGAAATGAAGTGCTGTGGATGGATGGACAAGAGAGACCCTCCACATCTGATCATCTGGTGTCGGCTTCTCTGCTTCCTTTTCCCACTTGACCTAACTCAGCTGCTGTGTAGATCACCTAAAATATAGCAAGCAGACACTTGGGGAGCACAAAAGAGTCTCCAGGTCGGATCCGGAGACCAGCCTTCTGAGAGGCAGCAGTGTCTCAGGTTCAAGGGAGTCCAATCTGGGAGGAAGGAGTCTGGCCAGAACCCCCAGGCCCAGGGCCTGCTCTGTTGCTGACACATTCTCAGATCTGCTTCCCTCTGGTGGCCAGCGCTTGCCCTGCAACCCAGACCACGTGATTTCTAGGAACCGCACCTCCCAGCAGGAGAACTGAAACTTAGGGTGGGAACTGTAGAAAGGGGAGGAGAGATCAGAAACAGCCTAGAACAAGCTGACTGTGGGACCTCCTCGGCAGGCCGCTCAGGTAAGAGCTGCTCTAGAGGGGAAGCACTTGGAAGGGCAGTAAGATGAGGATGGCGAAGGCCCCAGGGCCCTATGCTAGAGGGAGAACCAGAGCAGAAGGCTTGTGGGTCAGGAAATAGATTTGACCTGAGAGACGGGTACTGGGCCCTGTAGACAGGACAGGAGGAAGGCTCTTTGCTCAGCCTCAGGTGACCTTTGTTTTCTTGCCTCTGGCCCTGCCCACTTGTGCTTCCACTCCGCCCTTTCCCCCAGCTATCTGCCTCACCTACCCCTGGAGCACAGGGAGAAGGGATGGTGGTGAAGGGGCAAGTAGACTGGGGAGATGCCTTCAAGGCAAATGTTGCCTCTTTAGATGCACGGGATCTATACAGCCTATCACCAGGAGCAGGTCATTAAGGGAATCCTCTAAAATACACATTTCTCAAACACCTCAACATTAAGACCAAGGTTTCCTTCCTCGTGTAATAACTTGGAATATTGAAAAACAGATTCTACCTCAGAATGTTTCAAGAGAGAAAAGACAGGAGAAGGACTGTTGCTGGAAGCCGGCCCCAGTGATCAAACTTAGCAAGTGCTTCCAAAGAGTTGGTTCTCCCTGGGCATGATCCCAGCACTCCAGAGGCAGGTGGATCTCTGTTTAAGTCCAGCCTGATCTATATGATCAGTCCCAGGCCAGCCAGGATGACATAGTGAGATCCTGTCTCCAACTGGAAAAATAGTTCTGTGTATCCCTGCTTCTCTTCTTAGGATGGCCTCAGGCAAACCACGCAGCACCCGAAAGCTCCGCAGTTGGATAATAGAGCAATTGGAAAGTGGGCAGTTCCCAGGGGTGTGCTGGGATGATGCAGACAAGACCATGTTCCGGATTCCCTGGAAGCATGCAGGCAAGCAAGACTTCCGAGAGGACCAGGATGCTGCCCTATTCAAGGTGAGAGGGCCTGAAGCCACCATCCCCTCAAGTAGAGGATGGTGTCTGCACTGGTGTTTATACCCAAAGGCTTTTGTCTAGGTTTTAGGTAAAGGGAGTACTGGAAAGTAGAACCAGCTACACCATTAGCAGAGCCACAGTCAAAAATGACTAAGACTTTCATGCTGGCAATAATGGAATACAAACCAGTGCAGGCTCATCGGAGCTCAAGGCCTGTGCAATTGCACGGGCCACATACCTGTGCAGTCCTCCATTGGGAGGGACAGGTGGAGTATGTAATACTCTGTCTCTTCTTCACTTAATCTCTTGCTAGGCTTGGGCACTGTATAAGGGATACACCAATGAAGGAAATGCTGCTGTCTGGAAGACTCGCCTGCGCTGTGCCCTCAACAAGAGTTCTGAATTTGAAGAGGTTCCTGAGAGAGGCCGTATGGATGTTGCTGAACCCTACAAAGTGTATCGGATACTGCCACCAGGAACCCTCCCCGGTGAGTGATCCCTGCCCAGCTGCTCCTGGAATGGGCAGATTGACCAGGAAGGCTGGAGAGAAGAGCCATCTGTAGGCTGGCAGACCTTGCTGGCTCCCTGGTCCTGCCCAGCTTTTTGTTGCTTTGGGTCCCCCCACCACCACCACCATCTTTCTCTGTAAAAGGCTCTAACTTTCCTCTACCTGCAACATTTCTGCAGCCCAACCAAGAGTCCAGAAATCACCATCAAAGCAATGCATCAGGTCTGTGTCACCGGAGTGGGTAGAAAGTAAGGTAATAAATAAGACACCATCAAGAACCTGACAGTTGGGGCTGGAGTGATGCTCTGCAGTTAAGAGCCCTGGCCACTCTTCCAAAGGACCTGGGTTCGATTCCCAGCACCCACCTGGAGTTCACAACTGTCTGTAACTCCATTTCTGGTGGAACTGGCACCTTCACACAGACATATATGCAGGCAAAACTCCGGTGTACATAAAAACTAAATCTTTTTTTTTCATTCAATAACTATATGATATTCATTAATTACAATAATTGTATTGATTTATTACATTCATGATATTATGCTCTGATACTACGGTCAATTTGTGGTGGGTTTTCCATCACACAAAACAGAGATTCTGTACTTAGGAAATCATTGCTCTATATTCCTTTCTTTTACATCTTGAGATAAGGTCTAATCTTTCTCTCTCTATGAATTTGTATATTCTACATATTTCATGTAATACAATTCTATAGTATTTGTGCCTTTTTAAATTATTTTATTTTTCTGTTATCAGCTTGATACAATACAAATTCTTATCCTAATAGAGAAATGTTTCACTGAAGCTTGCCCAGTAATTGAGTAAAACCAAAACTTATTATAAGCCACAGTCATCCTAGGGTCCCCCCTGCTATATAGCCTCCCGGGATCTGTGGGTTGCAGTCTGATTGTTCTTTGCTTTATATCTAGTATCCACTTATGAGTGAGTACATACCATGTTTGTCCTTCTGGGTTTTGGCTACCTCACTCAGGATGATATTTTCTAGTTCCATCCATTTGCCTGCAAATTTCATGCTGTCATTGTATTTCTCTGTTGAGTAGTACTCCGTTGTGTATATGTACCACATTTTATTAATCCATTCTTCAGTTGACAGGCATCTAGGTTGTTTCCAGGTTCTGGCTATTACAAATAGTGCTGCTATGAACATAGTTGAGCATGTATCTTTGTGGTATGATTGAGCATTCCTTGGGTATATACCAAAGAGTGGTATGTCTGGGTCTTGAGGTAGATCGAGTCCCAATTTTCTGAGAAACCACCATACTGATTTCCACAGTGGTTGTACAAGTTTGCACTCCCACCAACAGTGGAGGAGTGATCCCCTTGCCCCCATCCTTTCCAACATAGACTGTCACTAGTGTTTTGTTTTTTGTTTTTTTTTTTTTTTATTTCAGTACAGATACCCTTTATAACATTGATTTTTTTTAAGATTTATTTATTTATTTAATATGTATTTAGTGTTCTGTTTGCATGTATCCCTGCAGTCCAGAAGAGGGAGCCAGATCTCATTACAGGTGGTTGTGAACCACCATGTGGGTGCTGGGAATTGAACTCAGGACCTCTGGAAGAACAGCCAGTGTTCTTAACTTCTGAGCCATCTCTCCAACTCCATCGTTAGTGTTTTTGATCATAGCAATTCTGACAGGTGTAAAAAAAACAACCAAAGAACTTGATGCTCACTTATTCTTGTCTTCAAGACTCCTTTGATAAAGTGAGTGCTGGGAAGGGGAACAGGAGGCCGGAGAGCGGGATAGTAATCAAAGGAAGAGGTGTGCCAGTGATAGATGTTGTATCTATAGGAGGAAGGGAGAACCAACTGGATTGTAAATCACTCAGACAGTGGCTGTGGTGGAAGAGGCATCCTTGGCTGCAGAGGCAGCAGCAGCAGCAGCGGTAGCGGCGGCGGTGGTGGGGACAGCAGCGGCGGCACCAGCGGCAGGGACAGCAGCAGCATCAGCGGGGACAGCAGCAGCGGCGGGGGCAGCCCAGAGCCAGAGGAAGGTACTGTCTCTCCTGCCTCTGTCTCTGCTGCACCTTCTGTCTCAGGCTCTTGGGTCCCACTCTGAGTGATCAGAGCCTTTGCCTCTCTTCCAGGTGCCTGCCTTCAAGAGGAAGCCTCCATTCAAGAGGACCCAGTGTTCATGGAGCATCAGCTTCCTCTGAACTCAGGTGCTTGGCCTTTCTGACCCCTCCCTCTCCCCTTCCTGCCAGGTCTGCTTCCTCTGACCTCGCCTACATTGTCTCCTCAGCTAGTGCTCACAACAAACTGGGTCCACTTTATCCTAGAGACAACACTTGTATGAACTGAGTATTCCATGTGGCTGGCGGATCATACTGCAGAGCTTTTTTCTCCCTCAGGGAAAAACACAAAACACCTTAAATAATCTGTTCCTTGGAGATCGACACTGAGACATTTGTTTTTCCTTTTTCTTTTTGGTGTTTGACAGGGCTACTCTGTGTATCTCTGTCTGGCCTGGAACTCACTCTGTAGACCATGTCAGCCTCAAATTCACAGAGATCCACCTGCCTCTGCCTCCTGAGTGCTGGGATTAAAGGCATGTGCCTCCATCACCACCTAGTGTGATGTTTATTTCTTTATTGTCCAGAAAAGTCCAGTCTCTGAGACCTTTGCTTAAACTGCACAGCCATAAGTGTTAAGCTCTGATAGGAGGGACCCCCTCAGTGACAGGAAAGCTTTGCCAGAAAACCCTGTTTGCAGGAAGGCATGCACATGGAGAAGGGGACACCTTTTCTTTTGTTTCTTTGTTCCTTTCTTCCTTCCTTCCTTCCTTCCTTCCCTTTTTTTTGGAGACAGTCTCACATTGCCCAGACTGACCTCAGACTCACTGTGCAGGTAAAGATGACCTGAGGCCCTGATCCTCCTGAGTGATGGGCTTACAGATGTGTGCTGCCACATCAGGTCTAAGGGCTTTTGCAGTGCTGGGGATTGAACCCAGGACTTTGTGCATGGTAGGCAACCATTCTTTCAAAAGAGCCACATTATCAGCCCAAAGGTACCTTCTCTAACTCAGAAAGAGCTGCCTAAGCCCTGCAACCTTGTCTTTCCCAGTGCTTGCTTGGATTCCTGCTTTGGACCTCAGTTTTCCCGTTATCAACACGGGGACACTGGACCCCACAGAACCTCATGCACCGTGGAGAGAAGGCCTCTTCTCAGCCTTCAGGCTCCTGCTGCACCTAGTAAAGCTAGACTTTTCTGTCCCCAGACTACTCGCTGCTGCTCACCTTCATCTACAATGGCCGTGTGGTGGGTGAGGTCCGGGTGCCCAACCTAGACTGTCGCCTTGTGGCTGAGCCCTTACTCTTGGAGAGTGAGATGCTGCAGGTGACCTTTCCCAAACCTGATCCACTGGAGCCTATCCAGCACCTGCTGAGTCAGCTCGAGAGAGGGATCCTGGTGGCCAGCAATTCCAGAGGCCTCTTTGTTCAGCGCCTCTGTCCCATCCCCATCTCCTGGAATGCACCTAAGGCCCCACCTGGGCCTGGTCCACATCTGCTGCCCAGCAATAAGTGTGTGGAGCTCTTCAGCACCAACTACTTCTATAGAGGTAAGGGTGTCCTAACTGGGCGTCTTAGCACCTACCCCTTTCTCACTAGTCCTGGGCCTGACCTGGGTTCTCCCACTGCCCTGTCCACCAGCAGATTGTCACTACATCCTGTGCATGGGGCCCCTGCACTTGTGTGGTGCACATTACATGTAGCCATATGTTTAGCTCTGGCAGCATTTCCCTAGCCAAGGTGGTGGTAGATGAGCTTCAGCTGGAGTTCAGCACAAGCGTGTTACTCTTGGGGAAGCATTGTAGCATTGAAACATGGATATGTGAATATGTACAAGTGAGTTAACATAGATTTAAGACTTGTTACCGCCGGGCGGTGGTGGCGCACGCCTTTAATCCCAGCACTCAGGAGGCAGAGGCAGGCGGATCTCTGTGAGTTCGAGGCCAGCCTGGTCTACAGCGCAAGATTCAAGAAAGGCGCAAAGCTACACAGAGAAACCCTGTCTCGAAAAACCAAAAAAAAAAAAAAAAAAAAAAAAAGACTTGTTACCATCTCTACACACATGGGAACACACAACTCTGTGGAAGAGCCAAGCCATCTTCCACACACTTGCCCCAGGCCACCATCTCTACCACACTGTAGGCATCTCCTAGACTGTCCCTTCCTTCTGTCCACTCTTGAAATTCTAGGTACAACCTCAGACTGAGCACAGGAGCAGAGTGAAGAGCATAGAGGATAGATGTAGATGTCCCTAGACTCATGTACCCTAGTGTTGGGAGAGTCTAAGCAAACAACAGAGGTTGGTATCCAGGGCTGCTGCTTCTGAGGATGCCATGGTGCCCTTCCTACAGCATAAGGGAGGAGAGAGAGAGAGCTTTGTTCCCATCATCTCTATCCCATGGCTTCTGCCCTGGCCTCGGTGTGCATGTTAGCCCATTCCCAGCTTTATCTGCCTCCGGTGTCCCACAGCTTCACTTTACTCATGGTCCTCTCCATATACTGGTTTTTGTTTTTTGTTTTTGTTTTTGAGAGAAGTCCTCACACCACTCCAGGTGTCCTGGAACTCACTAAGTAGACAGGGCCACTTCAAACACATGGTAACTCTCCTGCCCCAGCCTGAGTGCTGGGGTTACAGGCATACACCACCATGCCTGGCCATGCTGCCATGAGTGTCTTCCTCTTTCTTTCTTCCAATCCTTGACCCTCTTTCTTTCAGACTTGGCCCAGTACTGCCAGGGCCAGGGCCCCCCACCCAAGTTCCAGGCCACACTGAATTTCTGGGAGGAGAAGCCTGACTCTAACCACACCCAGGAGAATCTTATCACAGTGAGGGTGAGTTCCACTCCAAGAAAAGACCCATGTTGATTGGTCTCAAAAGAATTCTTCCTGGGGGGAGGGGCTCCGGGTAGTGATGTCTCTGCACTGCTCATTAGGTCTGATCCTCATTCCATTCCTTACAGATGGAGCAGGCCTTTGCCCGACATTTGCTGGAGACAGTTCCAGAGGAGCAGAGAGCTGCTTTGTTCCTGGTGCAGAACCCAGAACTCCCATCTGCTGCTGTATCACTCCATTGAAATGGACTTGTTCTCCACTCCGCTGGCCGGCCTGCTTTTGTGATGGCTCTATCACTGTGATTATACATCATGGCTGGTAGTGCAAGGATCATGTTCATCCAGAAAATAATTATACTGAAAGCCAGGCTTGTTGGTGAATATTTGTAATCTCAGCACTTGGGAGACAGTCTGGATGATTATGAGTTCATGGACAGACGCTGAAGAGACTTTTATTTACTTTTTTTTTAAACGATATACCATCTTTCATCTCTGAGGAACTAAAAGTTCTTGATGGTGTGATCTCAGAGGGAATTTTGCTCTCTTCCCAATCCCTAACTCTAAATCCAAGCACTTTATATTTCCTTACTAGATCCTTATTAGAATTTAAAATAACATTTAACTAGGTGGGGTAGAGCACACCTGTAACCTTAGCACATGGGAGGCAGAGGCAGGAAGACTGTGAATTCAAGGCCAGCCTTGGTGACATATTGTGACCCTGTCTCCAAAAAATAAATAAAAGCTTTATAAAAGAGAGATCAGTCTGTGATATGTTGGGAGAAGGTAGCAGGGGCTGCAGGGGAGTTGTAAAGATGTAGACTTGGGTACCCAGTACCTGGGTTCTCTTCCTGATGACACCTTCAGGTTCCTTTGCTTTCCTTTGCCAGTAGGACCAGCTGGAATGCTATCTGGGCCTAGTCTCAAACACAAGGTGATTCTCCTGCCCCAGTCTTCTAAGTGCTGGGGTGACAGACACAGACCACCATGCTGGCCATACCGCCATGCTTGTGTTCTCTCTTTCAGCCAATCCTTGACCCTGCTATTTTGTTTTTCAGACTTGGCCTAGTATTTGCAGGGCCAGCGGCCTCCATCCAAGTGTCAGGCAACCAAGACTGGGGAAAGGATTGGGAGTCAGTCTCTAGGACAGGCTTACAGACAAGCAGCATTCTAGCCACTGAGGTAGTTTGAATGAGAACGGCCTCCATGTGCTCAGACATTGAACACTTTATTTTTTCCCTGAGACAGGGTTTCTTTGTGTAGCCTTGGCTGTCCTGGAACTAACTCTGTAGACCAGGCTGGCCTTAAAGTCCAGGAGATCTGCCTGCGTCTACCTCCTGAGTGCTGGGATTAAAGGCGTGAGCTACCACTGTCTAGCACATATATTGAATACTTGGTGTCCTCACTTAGTGGAACTGTTTGGGAATGATTAGGAGGTGTGGCCTTGCTGGATGAGTTGTGTCACTTGGCAGTGGGCTTTGAGGTTTCAAAAGACTCATGCTAGATGGTGGTGGCGCACACCTTTAACCCCAGCATTTGGGAGGCAGAGGCAGGTAGATCTCTGTGAGTTCTAGGCCAGCCTGGTCCACAGAGAGTTCCAGGGTAGCCAGGGATACACAGAGAAACCTTATTGTGAAAAAAATAGAAAGAAAGAAAAAGAAAAAAGAAAAGGTAGTCATGTTCTAACAGCTGTTGACTGAACCTTGAGGGCTTATAGTGACTGACCCTCTTCTTCCACTGCATGGAGAAACTTTTCCTTCACAAAGCCTTTCTAATGCCCACTGTCGCACTTCCACCACCTCCAGCACCCCCATTCCTGCACCTAACACCAGACTCTTTCCTTCTTGCCACAGCTCCAGCCTCCAGGGACTCGTCTGCCCCGTGATCAGGGCCTTGCCAGACCCCACTGTGCTTTCCTGCCTCCTAGGACCTTTGTTCTTCCTCCGGTCTGTCCCTCATCCTCAGGAAGCCGGAAGGAAACACATCGAGGTGCTGCTTGTGTGTCTTCAGTCTTCTGAAACCCCCTTGCCCCTTCCCTGTATCTGTTCTGAAGTACATCTTTGTCTTCCATTTTTCTCTTGTCCCCCACATCTAAGCCAAGTGGCTTTTGTCACAAAAGAGCCTTTGAGCGATGGACATGGTGGTGTACCTTTAGTCCTAGAACTCAGGAGGCAAAGGCAGGCAGATCTCTGCATTCCAGACCAGCCTGAGGTACATACAAAGTGAGACCCTTTTTCAAAAAAAAATTTTTTAAGAGGTGTTGGTGGTGAGATTGCTTAGTGGATAAAGGCATCTGCTGCCAATCCTGGCGATTTGAGAGTTTGGCCCCTGGATCTACATGGTAGAAGGAGAGAACTAACCCCCACAAATCATCCTCAGACCTCCACACATGCCTGCACCTTGGTACATGTGCACCCCTGCAACACTTACAAAATAAGTGAAGATAGGAACATGGGTCTCTGTGTGTATGATCTGATTCCTGCGGGAAATGTAACATGCTCACACATGTTGCAGTGAGAACAGAAGCTAGGTTAAACTGTCAGTCTGGAGCACTGAGGAGAATGAATAAGAAAAGGCTGGTAACTGGGTGTGAAATAACCAAACTAAAACGGTAAGGGGAGGGAATGGGTTCTGGGCCAATGTTTGCAGCCCAGCTTCTCCACAAAGCCCTTGTGGATTGTGTGCAAGGCACTTAATAGCCTTGCTTCTAAGGCGGCTAGTCTAACATTCATAATTGCAAGTAAGTTACTTTCATCTAACAAGCTTCTGCTTAGGAGACTACCTTAGACCACTCCAAAGACAAGGAGCTAAACATACGGCAGTCAAGAAAGACTGGAGCTGTATCTCGGTGGCTGTGATGGAGGTGGCGCTGCCGTAGCAAAGCTACAAGCTGGCCCTGTAAGTGTGAGAACAGCGTGCTTGGTATAGTTGAACAGCACCTGGGACACCAGGTTGGAGGGTAGGAACGCTAACCAGATGACGAACTGCAATGGACAGTCACGGTCTCACAGTGAACAACTGATCAAGTACAAATCAGATAGGGCTTCCAAACACCCCTGACTGGGTGGGCAGCCCTTGATCATCTCCATATCATCTCCATACTGGGTCATGCAGACACACAGAGCATGTGGGTTCTCCATTGGCCGGCTCGCTGATATCCCTGAGAGCCAACCAATCTCAAGCAATTCACTCAACCTTTGTCCAGTTTCTGCTACAGCCCTAGAAAAGTCCTAGACAAAGAAATTCAGTGGCTTTTTCCTCCCTTGGAATCCCTGCCCACTCTTGGGAGTGCCCTCACTTCTCAATTTCTGTAACTTTAAAAAATATTTTAATTTTATTATGTGTATAGGTATTTTTGCCCACATGCGTCTCTGTACCACGTGAGGGCCTGGGATCCACGGAGTCCAGAAGAGGACCTCAGTTTATTTGGAACTGGAATTACAGAAAGTTATGAGCTGCCATGTGGGTCCTCTAGAAGAGCAACACATCCTCTTAGCCTCTGAGCCATCTCTCCGTCCCCTTTTCTATAATTCTAATAAAGCTTGCTTCTGCTTTGCTTTTCCCCACAAGAGTCTGCCACTGTCTCACATTGACCTTTGCTGATCCTAGAGTGTCTGACATATTAGGAGCTTGGGCCAAAAAAGGTCCTATAGTTCTCAGAAACGCTGCATCTGTTCTGCCCGTTCCGCCATCACCACGTTGACGCTATCATCAGCACAGATCTCTGCTTGGTTCTTTTCACGTTGCCCTGTTCCCACTCTGGTCTGCCTTAAGCCTATTCTCAACACAGTACACAGAGCCCCTCAACTGAAATCTGGTCATTTCACTCCTGTGCTCAAAACCCTCCTTGGCTCTCAACTCTCTCAAGGTCCCAACGAAGATGCTGAAAATGACCACCAACGTTAAACAGTCCCCAGCCTCCTTCCTAACCTCACCCTTCACCCCTCCCATGATGCTTTGCTCTAGGCTCCTTGAACACACTATACATTGCTGCCTCACATTTCCATTTGTTTGTTCTTTTTTTCTAAATACTGTTCCTTGCTGGTTGGTGGTACATGTCTTTAATCCCAGCAATGGAGGCAGGAGGATCTCTGTGAGTTTCAGGCCAGCCTAGTCTGTAGAGAGTTCCATGAAGGCCAGGGCTGCATAAGGAAACCCTGACTCCAAAAACAAGGCTCCAGAGATTAAGTTGACTGTGTAGGAGCTAAATAACAACTAGAAGAGCAGTTTTAAGTGCATGTGAAAGGCCAGCCGAAACCATGCAGTGAGACCCTAGCTTCGACTTCCCTCCTCCATAAAAGAGCATGTGATTAAGGGTCATAAGCCACTGTGATAGAAGTGAGGCAGCCAGGCCTCCACCCATTCCCAAGTCTCTCTGGCTCCGAACCCTTCTCCAAAGTGTGACATAACCACTACTGACAAGCAGGTTTCCTGGGCTCAGAGGCCCTCCCAACATGGACCCGTTCCTTCCTTCCTCTTAGGTGGCTGCCGAGTGATGGAGCAAAAAGAGGTTCCCGATGGGTTCAGGGATGAGGCCTGCGGCAAGGAGACTCCAGCTGGCTATGCCGGCCTCTGCCAGTGAGTGTGTGCCAGAGCATGGAGCATGGCATGGGGATGAGGGCTATGCTGGCCTCTGCCAGTGAGTGCCTGCCAGACCCTGGAGCATGGGGATGAGGGCTAGGCTGCGCAGGCAGGAAGACGGGGTCTCTGTTGGTCCTTCAGGAGGAAGGGACAGAGGGAGGGCGCCCTGGACAAGGGTGTGGATGTGTAACAGCAGGCAGCTTAGAGATACTGGTGGACACTCCCTGCAAGTAGAGCAGGCAGAGGAGCTATAGTCTTGTTCATGTAAGAATCCCAGTGTGGCCGGGACAGCCAAGGCTATGTCACAGAGAAACCCGGTCTCCAAAAACAAACAAACAAACAAATCCCACTGTGATCCGCTGAGAAAACTGTGGGGGTGGGATGTGGGGGGTTAAAGGTGCTTAGTGCCGGGCATAGGGACCGGAGTTCTGCCCCCGAAACCCACATGGAAAAGGAGAAAACTAACTCACAAGTGGTCCTCTGACCCGCCTGTGTTCACTGTGACATGAGTATGGGTGCTTACAACATAACACACAATTTAAAAAGGAGAAATGGCAAAGCCCAGCAAGGTGTTAGCCTCACACGGTTAATAGTATCACACTCTTAATAACGGAGGAGTACATGTTCTGCTTCCTCCTCTCCCAGGGCACACTACAAAGAATATCTTGTGAGCCTCATCAATGCCCATTCGTTGGACCCAGCGACCCTGTACGAAGTGGAGGAGCTGGAGACAGCCACTACACGCTACCTCCATGTGCATCCCGAACCAATGGATGGAGAGGATCTTCCTGCCTATCAGGCTCGATTGTTACAGGTAACGCTGTCAACAGCAGCTGCCCCTCTGCCCTTACCTTCCAGAATCACCTGTCACAGCCTGTTTCTCTTCTCCTTTGCAGAAGCTGACAGAAGAGGTTCCCTTGGGACAGAGTATTGCCCGCAGGAGGAAGTAGCTGAGGGCAAGGGTCCTGATGAGGCTTCACCACCCTGGCCTCAGCAGCAGCTCCTTCCGGCACCAATAAAGAGGCGTCTTATGGCCTAGGCTTCTTGGTGGTCCTTCTTCCCGGCCTCACCATCTAGGGGCCTTGGGGAAAGGGAGGGGGTAGGTGAACAGAATCTTGTTGGAAGGGCCTTCGGCAGCCTACTCTCCCCTCCCGGACTCCTGGCTAGAAGAAATGAAGTGCTGTGGATGGATGGACAAGAGAGACCCTCCACATCTGATCATCTGGTGTCGGCTTCTCTGCTTCCTTTTCCCACTTGACCTAACTCAGCTGCTGTGTAGATCACCTAAAATATAGCAAGCAGACACTTGGGGAGCACAAAAGAGTCTCCAGGTCGGATCCGGAGACCAGCCTTCTGAGAGGCAGCAGTGTCTCAGGTTCAAGGGAGTCCAATCTGGGAGGAAGGAGTCTGGCCAGACCCCCCAGGCCCAGGGCCTGCTCTGTTGCTGACACATTCTCAGATCTGCTTCCCTCTGGTGGCCAGCGCTTGCCCTGCAACCCAGACCACGTGATTTCTAGGAACCGCACCTCCCAGCAGGAGAACTGAAACTTAGGGTGGGAACTGTAGAAAGGGGAGGAGAGATCAGAAACAGCCTAGAACAAGCTGACTGTGGGACCTCCTCGGCAGGCCGCTCAGGTAAGAGCTGCTCTAGAGGGGAAGCACTTGGAAGGGCAGTAAGATGAGGATGGCGAAGGCCCCAGGGCCCTATGCTAGAGGGAGAACCAGAGCAGAAGGCTTGTGGATCAGAAAATAGATTTGACCTGAGAGACTGGTACTGGGCCCTGTAGACAGGACAGGAGGAAGGCTCTTTGCTCAGCCTCAGGTGACCTTTGTTTTCTTGCCTCTGGCCCTGCCCACTTGTGCTTCCACTCCGCCCTTTCCCCCAGCTATCTGCCTCACCTACCCCTGGAGCACGGGGAGAAGGGATGGTGGTGAAGGGGCAAGCAGACTGGGGAGATGCCTTCAAGGCAAATGTTGCCTCTTTGGATGCACGGGATCTATACAGCCTGTCACCAGGAGCAGGTCATTAAGGGAATCCTCTAAAATACACATTTCTCAAACACCTCAACATTAAGACCAAGGTTTCCTTCCTCGTGTAATAACTTGGAATATTGAAAAACAGATTCTACCTCAGAATGTTTTAAAGAGAAAAGACAGGAGAAGGGCTGTTGCAGGAAGCCGGCCCCAGTGATCAAACTTAGCAAGTACTTCCAAAGAGTTGGTTCTCCCTGGGCATGATCCCAGCACTCCAGAGGCAGGTGGATCTCTGTTTAAGTCCAGCCTGATCTATATGATCAGTCCCAGGCCAGCCAGGATGACATAGTGAGATCCTGTCTCCAACTGGAAAAATAGTTCTGTGTATCCCTGCTTCTCTTCCTAGGATGGCCTCAGGCAAACCACGCAGCACCCGAAAGCTCCGCAGTTGGATAATAGAGCAATTGGAAAGTGGGCAGTTCCCAGGGGTGTGCTGGGATGATGCAGACAAGACCATGTTCCGGATTCCCTGGAAGCATGCAGGCAAGCAAGACTTCCGAGAGGACCAGGATGCTGCCCTATTCAAGGTGAGAGGGCCTGAAGCCACCATCCCCTCAAGTAGAGGATGGTGTCTGCACTGGTGTTTATACCCAAAGGCTTTTGTCTGGGTTTGAGTAAAGGGAGTACTGGAAAGTAGAACCAGCTACATCATTTGCAGAGCCACAGTCAAAAATGACTAAGACTTTCATGCTGGCAATAATGGAATACAAACCAGTACAGGCTCATCGGAGCTCAAGGCCTGTGCAATTGCACGGGCCACATACCTGTGCAGTCCTCCATTGGGAGGGACAGGTGGAGTATGTAATACTCTGTCTCTTCTTCACTTAATCTCTTGCTAGGCTTGGGCACTGTATAAGGAAAAGACTAAGGAAGGGGAGCTAGGAAATGCTGCTGTCTGGAAGACTCGCCTGCGCTGTGCCCTCAACAAGAGTTCTGAATTTGAAGAGGTTCCTGAGAGAGGCCGTATGGATGTTGCTGAACCCTACAAAGTGTATCGGATACTGCCACCAGGAACCCTCCCCGGTGAGTGGTCCCTGCCCAGCTGCTCCTGGAATGGGCAGATTGACCAGGAAGGCTGGAGAGAAGAGCCATCTGTAGGCTGGCAGGCCTTGCTGGCTCCCTGGTCCTGCCCAGCTTTTTGTTGCTTTGGGTCCCCCCCACCACCATCTTTCTCTGTAAAAGGCTCTAACTTTCCTCTACCTGCAACATTTCTGCAGCCCAACCAAGAGTCCAGAAATCACCATCAAAGCGATGCATCAAGTCTGTGTCACCGGAGAGGGAAGAAAGTAAGGTAATAAATAAGACACCATCAAGAACCTGACAGTTGGGGCTGGAGTGATGCTCTGCAGTTAAGAGCCCTGGCCACTCTTCCAAAGGACCTGGGTTCGATTCCCAGCCCACCTGGAGTTCACAACTGTCTGTAACTCCATTTCTGGTGGAAATGGCACCTTCACACAGACATATATGCAGGGAAAACCCTGGTGTACATAAAAACTAAATCTTAAAAACAAAAAACAACTACAATTGAAGAACTTGATGCTCACTTATTCTTGTCTTCAAGACTCCTTTGATAAAGTGAGTGCTGGGAAGGGGAACAGGAGGCCGGAGAGCGGGATAGTAATCAAAGGAAGAGGTGTGCCAGTGATAGATGTTGTATCTATAGGAGGAAGGGAGGACCAACTGGATTGTAAACCACTCAGACAGTGGCTGTGGTGGAAGCAGCATCGTTGACTGCAGAGGCAGCAGCAGCAGCAGCAGCAGCAGCAGCAGCAGCAGCAGCGGAGGGGGCAGCCCAGAGCCAGAGGAAGGTACTGTCTCTCCTGCCTCTGTCTCTGCTGCACCTTCTGTCTCAGGCTCTTGGGTCCCACTCTGAGTGATCAGAACCTTTGCCTCTCTTCCAGGTGCCTGCCTTCAAGAGGAAGCCTCCATTCAAGAGGACCCAGTGTTCATGGAGCATCAGCTTCCTCTGAACTCAGGTGCTTGGCCTCTCTGACCCCTCCCTCTCCCCTTCCTGCCAGGTCTGCTTCCTCTGACCTCGCCTACATTGTCTCCTCAGCTAGTGCTCACAACAAACTGGGTCCACTTTATCCTAGAGACAACACTTGTATGAACTGAGTATTCCATGTGGCTGGCGGATCATACTGCAGAGCTTTTTTCTCCCTCAGGGAAAAACACAAAACACCTTAAATACTCTGTTTCTTGGAGAACTACACGGAGACATTTGTTTTTCCTTTTTCTTTTTGGTGTTTGACAGGGCTACTCTGTGTATCTCTGTCTGGCCTGGAACTCACTCTGTAGACCATGTTGGCCTCAAATTCACAGAGATCCACCTGCCTCTGCCTCCTGAGTGCTGGGATTAAAGGCATGTACCTCCATCACCACCTAGTGTGATGTTTATTTCTTTATTGTCCAGAAAAGTCCAGTCTCTGAGACCTTTGCTTAAACTGAACAGCCATGAGTGTTAAGCTCTGATAAGAGGGACCCCCTCAGTGACAGGAAAGCTTTGCCAGAAAACCCTGTTTGCAGGAAGGCATGCACATGGAGAAGGGGACACCTTTTCTTTTGTTTCTTTGTTCCTTTCTTCCTTCCTCCCTCCCTCCCTCCTTCTCTTCCTTCCTTCCTTCCTTTTTTTTGGAGACAGTCTCACATTGCCCAGACTGACCTCAGACTCACTGTGCAGGTAAAGATGACCTGAGGCCCTGATCCTCCTGAGTGATGGGCTTACAGATGTGTGCTGCCACATCAGGTCTAAGGGCTTATGCAGTGCTGGGGATTGAACCCAAGGCTTTGTGCATGGTAGGCAACCATTCTTTCAAAAGAGCCGCATTATCAGCCCAAAGGTACCTTCTCTAACTCAGGAGGAGCTGCCTAAGCCCTGCAACCTTGTCTTTCCCAGTGCTTGCTTGGATTCCTGCTTTGGACCTCAGTTTTCCCATTATCAACACGGGGACACTGGACCCCACAGAACCTCATGCACCATGGAGAGAAGGCCTCTTCTCAGCCTTCAGGCTCCTGCTGCACCTAGTAAAGCTAGACTTTTCTGTCCCCAGACTACTCACTGCTGCTCACCTTCATCTACAATGGCCGTGTGGTGGGTGAGGTCCGGGTGCCCAACCTAGACTGTCGCCTTGTGGCTGAGCCCTTACTCTTGGAGAGTGAGATGCTGCAGGTGACCTTTCCCAAACCTGATCCACTGGAGCCTATCCAGCACCTGCTGAGTCAGCTCGAGAGAGGGATCCTGGTGGCCAGCAATTCCAGAGGCCTCTTTGTTCAGCGCCTCTGTCCCATCCCCATCTCCTGGAATGCACCTAAGGCCCCACCTGGGCCTGGTCCACATCTGCTGCCCAGCAATAAGTGTGTGGAGCTCTTCAGCACCAACTACTTCTATAGAGGTAAGGGTGTCCTAGCTGGGCGTCTTAGCACCTACCCCTTTCTCACTAGTCCTGGGCCTGACCTGGGTTCTCCCACTGCCCTGTCCACCAGCAGATTGTCACTACATCCTGTGCATGGGGCCCCTGCACTTGTGTGGTGCACATTACATGTAGCCATATGTGTAGATGTAACCAACCGTCTTATTAAATAAGAAACACAGAACCAATGCAAAGAAGAAAGCCAAGAGATCAGAGCTAAGAGCCTTACCCTGCCGCTAGCCTCTTAAGCCAAGAGACCTCTCCGAAAGACTGCTACTTCCTGTGTGTTTGTCTTTATATAGTCTTTCTGTTCTGCCTTCTCATTGGTTGTAAACCCAAACACATGACTGCCTCGTCACTGCCTGTCTGTAGAGACTTGCAGGTCTTCTATAGTTGGTATTGAGATTAAAGGCATGTGTCTCCAATGCTTGCTGTATCCTTGAACACACAGAAATCTACCTAGCTCTGTCTACCAAGTGCTGGGATTAGAAGTGTGTACCACCACCGCCACGCTCTTGCTATGGCTCTAATAGCTCTGACCCCTGGGCAACTTTATTTATTTATTAACATACAATAAAAATCACATTTCAGTACTAATAAAATACCACCATACTTATGTTTAGCTCTGGCAGCATTTCCCTAGCCAAGGTGGTGGTAGATGAGCTTCAGCTGGAGTTCAGTACAAGCATGTTGTTACTCTTGGGGAAGCATTTTAGCATTGAAACATGGATATGTGAATGTGTACAAGTGAGTTAACACAGATTTAAGCCTTGTTACCATCTCTACACACATGGGAGCACACAACTCTGTTTGTGGAGGAGCCAAGCCATCTTCCACACACTTGCCCCAGGCCACCATCTCTACCACACTGTAGGCATCTCCTAGACTGTTCCTTCCTTCTGTCCACTCTTGAAATTCTAGGTACTGCCTCAGACTGAGCACAGGAGCAGAGTGAGGAGCATAGAGGATAGATGTAGATGTCCCTGGGCTCATGTACCCTGGTGTTGGGAGAGTCTAAGCAAACAACAGAGGTTGGTATCCAGGGCTGCTGCTTCTGAGGATGCCAAGGTGCCCTTCCTACAGCATAAGGGAGGAGAGAGAGAGCTTTGTTCCCATCATCTCTATCCCATGGCTTCTGCCCTGGCCTCGGTGTCCATCTTAGCCCATTCCCAGCTTTATTTGCCTCCGGTGTCCCACAGCTTCACTTTACTCATGGTCCTCTCCATATACTGGTTTTTGTTTTTTGTTTTTGTTTTTGAGAGAAGTCCTCACACCACTCCAGGTGTCCTGGAACTCACTAAGTAGACAGGGCCACTTCAAACACATGGTAACTCTCCTGCCCCAGCCTGAGTGCTGGGGTTACAGGCATACACCACCATGCCTGGCCATGCTGCCATGAGTGTCTTCCTCTTTCTTTCTTCCAATCCTTGACCCTCTTTCTTTCAGACTTGGCCCAGTACTGCCAGGGCCAGGGCCCCCCACCCAAGTTCCAGGCCACACTGCATTTCTGGGAGGAGAAGCCTGACTCTAACCACACCCAGGAGAATCTTATCACAGTGAGGGTGAGTTCCACTCCAGGAAGAGACCCATGTTGGTTTGTCTCAAAAGAATTCTTCCTGGGGGGGGGGGGCTCCAGGTAGTGATGTCCCTGAAGTGCTCATGAGGCCTGATCCTCATTCCATTCCTTACAGATGGAGCAGGCCTTTGCCCGACATTTGCTGGAGACAGTTCCAGAGGAGCAGAGAGCTGCTTTGTTCCTGGTGCAGAACCCAGAACTCCCATCTGCTGCTGTATCACTCCATTGAAATGGACTTGTTCTCCACTCCGCTGGCCGGCCTGCTTTTGTGATGGCTCTATCACTGTGATTATACATCATGGCTGGTAGTGCAAGGATCATGCTCATCCAGAAAATAATTATACTGAGAGCCAGGCTTGTTGGTGAATATTTGTAATCTCAGCACTTGGGAGACAGTCTGGATGATTATGAGTTCATGGACAGACCCTGAAGAGACTTTTATTTACTTTTTTTTTTTAAACGATATACCATCTTTCATCTCTGAGGAACTAAAAGTTCTTGATGGTGTGATCTCAGAGGGAATTTTGCTCTCTTCCCAATCCCTAACTCTAAATCCAAGCACTTTATATTTCCTTACTAGATCCTTATTAGAATTTAAAATAAAATTTAACTGGGTGGGGTAGGGCACACCTGTAACCTTGGCACATGGGAGGCAGAGGCAGGAAGACTGTGAATTCAAGGCCAGCCTTGGTGACATATTGTGACCCTGTCTCCAAAAAATAAATAAAAGCTTTATAAAAGAGAGATCAGTCTGTGATATGTTGGGAGAAGGTAGCAGGGGCTGCAGGGGAGTTGTAAAGATGTAGACTTGGGTACCCAGTACCTGGGTTCTCTTCCTGATGACACCTTCAGGTTCCTTTGCTTTCCTTTGCCAGTAGGACCAGCTGGAATGCTATCTGGGCCTAGTCTCAAACACAAGGTGATTCTCCTGCCCCAGTCTTCTAAGTGCTGGGGTGACAGACACAGACCACCATGCTGGCCATACCGCCATGCTTGTGTTCTCTCTTTCAGTCAATCCTTGACCCTGCTATTTTGTTTTTCAGACTTGGCCTAGTATTTGCAGGGCCAGCGGCCTCCATCCAAGTGTCAGGCAACCAAGACTGGGGAAAGGATTGGGAGTCAGTCTCTAGGACAGGCTTACAGACAAGCAGCACTCTAGCCATTGAGGTAGTTTGAATGAGAACGGCCTCCATGTGCTCAGACATTGAACACTTTATTTTTTCCCTGAGACAGGGTTTCTTTGTGTAGCCTTGGCTGTCCTGGAACTAACTCTGTAGACCAGGCTGGCCTTAAAGTCCAGGAGATCTGCCTGCGTCTACCTCCTGAGTGCTGGTATTAAAGGCTTTCGCTACCGCCGTCTAGCACATATATTGAATACTTGGTGTCCTCACTTAGTGGAACTGTTTGGGAATGATTAGGAGGTGTGGCCTTGCTGGATGAGTTGTGTCACTTGGCAGTGGGCTTTGAGGTTTCAAAGGACTCATTAGGACAAGGGCTCCACTAACCCAAGCTGAACTTACTGTATGGCCCTGGGTGGCCTTGAACTCCTGCAGTCTTCCTGCCTCAGCCTCCCCTCAGTGTTGGGATAATATGTATGAGTCACTATACTCCACCTCTCAATCTCTTTTGGTTTTGACCATGCATAGTTTGTAAATATAGGGCAACTGAACATCCACTTGACAAATACAGTACTTCTGTAGCTAGAAGTCAGACACAGACTGGAAACATGCAACCCTGCTCCCAAGAGTGCTGGACTGAAGGGGACAGAGAGGGTCAGTTCAACTGCCACAGAACTGGGTCTTAATATCAGAGCCTTCCCTGGAGGCAAGGCAGGAACGGATAGTCTAAGGCACAAGAATGGCTTTATGAAGGCAGAGAACCAGGGCAAAAGGTATTTATGACTTCGATACCATAGTAACCGTATGCTTAATTTATATAAAAAGTTATTTGAGGGGCTGACAATATGGCTCATAGGTAAAGGCACCTGCTACCAAGCATAAGGGCCTGGGTTCAATCCCTAGGCCTCACATGATAGAAGGATGAAACTGACTCCAGTGAGTTGTCCTCTGGTGATCAAATGTGCCCTAGGGGTGCGCGCACACACATGCACACGCACACACACACACACACACACACACACACACACACATAAATACGAAAAAAAGTTAAATTTCTGGTTTTTAAAAAAAATGCCTTGAGCCAGGCATGGCACTCAGGAGGCAGAGGCAGGTGGATCTCTGAGTTCAAGGCCAGCCTGGTCTACAGAGAGAGTTCCAGACAGCCAGGGCTACACAGAGAAACCCTTCTCAACAACAACAAAAAGAAAGAGAGAGAGAGAGAGAGAGAGAGAGAGAGAGAGAGAGAGAGAGAGAGAGAGAGAGAAAGAAAAAGAAAGAAAGAAAGAAAGAAAGAAAGAAAGAAAGAAAGAAAGAAAGAAAGAAAGAAAGAAAGAAAGAAAGAAAGAAGGAAAGAAAACAAAACAGCAAAACAAAAACCCATGTACTTTGTTAATTCTGAGGTTTTTGAGCTGCATCTCCCGATGGCCCAGGCCAGTGTTAAACTCACTGTCAAGTGAAGGCTGTCCTTCAACTCCCGCCTTTCCTCCCAAGATCTGAGATTGCAGGCATGCACACACCTTCGTCTTTTGTTTTGCTGCTCGCCTGGAAGTCACAGTGTAGACCTTCATGGCCTCAGACTCATAGGCTTTGCCTGACTCTGCCTCCTGAGTGCTTGGATCAAAGGCTGTTTTCTTCCGTGTTTGCAGTCCTTAGAGTCGAGCCCGGGGCCTTGCAGATGCACAGCAAGCTCTCTCCTACTGAGCTACACTCCAGCCCTGTTTTATATATATATATTTTATTTATTTATTTTTTTTTTTCCTGAGACAGGGTTTCGCTCTCGCTTCCTAACTGGCCTGTAGACCCAGCTAGTCTCAAACTCATAGACCTCCTCCTGTCACTGAGATAAAAGGTGCGCACTACCACGCCTGGCCTGTGTTTTTGCTTTTTGCTTAGAGATGTTGTCTAAATTGCCTTGGCTAAACCTGCCTCCCTGCCAAGTGGCAGGTGAGATTTCGGGAGTTTGTAGTTACAGCTCTTGTGGCTGTTTTCTTCCTTGTCGACATGTGGTGATTACAAGGCCACCTCACACTTAGTGCAACACAGACCCTTCCTGGACACAAAATCCGGTTGGTAGCGTTTAGGAGTAAGAACAGGGCTCATGCCCAGGCAAGGTACGGTGCCTTGCATCTCTGTATTATAAGCAGCGCCAGGGCATTTGCCCTTGACATGACCCCATCTCCCATTCCAGTAGCTACCGTGCTAGCAAGCTGTCTCCAGGGGGAAACTGGGTTTCCTTCTCGTTCATTGGCCAGCGGAACCCCTTGGAGAAATCCTTGTTACTACCCGAAAGAACGAGAGCCCATTGGCCAGGGCACCTCACAATGCCGCGGTAGCGCTCAGGGTTCTCCTGATTGGCTCCGCATCAGTCTCCAAGAGCCTATGGCCTGGAACTGAGTTTTGCTGCCAGGCACCGGGAGTCAGAGCTTCGCCTCCGCGGCTCCCCATTGGCTGTCCTGGCGCAAAGCCTCGGAGAGCGTGCTCCTGGTCCCGCTGGAGGGAGACTGGACCCGGAGCCAGGTCCAGACGCTCGACGCCGTCTCTGTGCTTGGGGACGAAGAAGGCCTGCTGACGAGGACTCCGTCTTCCCTGAAGACTGTCTTTTGTCGCTGCCAGGCTTCCCCTTGGAGCTCCCCATCTCTGTCCAGGACGCCAACCCTGAAGGTAAGTTCCACGCCCTCGAGTGATGTGCAGACCTACTCAGGAATGGCAGAATGCGGGGTGCCCAGCGCCTGCGGCTCTGTTGGGATACCTCCTAATTCAATTACCAGTAGTTGGCCGCCTTATTAACTGGGCTTTTTGCACCCATATCCACCATGCCCCCTGTCCAAATTCCTACTGCTCTTCAATGGTGCTGGGAATCCCGCGTCCTAAAGAATTCGGATTGCGATCCAAACGGGATTGGTGCTGGGCGTGAAACCGAGAGAAGATGTTCTACTATCCCAACGTGCTTCAGCGCCACACAGGCTGCTTCTCCACTATCTGGTGAGCCAGGGCTGATGGCTGACGCCAGGAGCCACGTAGTGGGAATCTCAGTTTGACAGGCCATACCCGTCCCCACCCCTCCAGGCTGGCGGCAACCCGAGGCAGCCGGTTGGTGAAGCGCGAATACCTGAAAGTGAACGTAGTAAAGACCTGGTAAGACCCGGAAAAGAGGGAGGGGCCTCCGGTTTGGGAGCTCCTGTGAGTGCCGCATTGATCAGAGCCTGTTGTTCTCCCAGTGAGGAAATCCTCAATTATGTGCTGGTGCGGGTACAACCTCCGATGCCCGGGCTGCCCCGGCCCCGCTTCTCCCTCTATCTCTCCGCCCAGCTGCAGATTGGTGTGATAAGGGTGTACTCACAGCAGTGCCAGTACCTTGTGGGTAAGGCTGGGGACCCTGGAGGTGGGCGAGAGCTGAATGGCCCGTGGCTAAGCTGGTTCTTTCACCCTCCCCGCCCACAGAAGACATCCAGCACATCCTGGAGCACCTGCACCGGGCCCAGCTGCGGATTCGGATTGATATGGAGGAGGCTGACCTGTGAGTCCCTGGAACTGGGGCCATCCAGACCTGCTTGGTCTCAGCCTCTTCTTTTTTTTTTGGGGGGGGGTGTCTGTGGCAGCGCCTACTGAGCCATCCCACCCACTGCCAGACTTGTCCTTGACATCTCACATTCTCTCCCAGACCTAGCTTGCTTCTTCCCAACTGCCTGGCCATGATGGAGACACTGGAAGATGCCCCAGAACCGTTTTTTGGGACGATGTCTGTGGATCCCAGACTTCCCAGTCCATTTGATATTCCTCAGGTAGGGCTCACTTCTCTAGATCACCTCAGGAGTCACAAGACGACAATAAGAAGGGAGAGTTGGTGTCCTTGTGTCAATCTGACGCTAAGGTTTGGGGTGGGACCCTGCCAGAGGTTTCCGTAAGAGGCCATGGAGCAAGGGGATTGGTGGGTGTAAACACGCAAGCACGCGCTTACTTAGAGTCAACCTGAGAGAACGGTTTCCCCGGGAGAGGCATTCTTCCCCTGTCTCCACTGCCCCCACCCCTGAGACCTGAATCTAGATGGTGGTTTTTCTTCCCTGTCCTCTCCCATCATCCCCACAGCTTAGACAGTACTCCAGACCCCACTGTCTCAGTCAAGCCGTTGGCCCTGAATGCAGAGTATCAGCACCGAGGGACCGTGGTGCCTGGGTTTAGTGGTACCCAGCCCCTTCTTCGCTCTTCTCTAGGCATCCTTAGCTACCAAACACCAGCCCATTTCCCATGTCCCCAAAGTGCCACGTCTGCTTGTGAAAATACATTTCTCAACCCACCAAGAATGGCTCTTCATTCTCTGCAAGTCAGGGCCTACTGAGCCTTACAGACTTAGTCTAAGGCCGCCCTTTCCATGAACTCATGATCCCACTCGAAGCCAGAAGCAAAGGATGGTTGGAACCTGAGCGCCCAGCCTGCTCTGTCCTTTTCATTGACTCTGCTGGCATCACACACAGACTGTCCCCACCACCATCTACCCAAGAGGCTTTTCTCTTCATCTCTGTCCACAACCACAGTTGATACATGGATGTCGCGGTACTTTTTGCACAAACTGACAAGGTGACAAATTAGGGGTGAGGCTAGGACAGGGACAGGAGGGACAACAGACAGGTAGGCTGGTGACTCTATGGCATCCTGATGTCAAATGGCACAAAGGTTTGGTTTAGGGGTTGGTGTAGCCCAGTGTTTGCTTAACGTGCACAAAGCCCTAGATTTGACTCCCAGTTCTGAAAACTCTCGAACACACACACACACACACACACACACACACACACACACACACGCACGCACATGCTGGATGTAGTGATATAAGCTAATTTAAGAACTCAAGAGTTTCAAGGAGGACTATTTAAAGCAGGGGTGGGGATTGGGTTGGAGCCATGGCCCAGTGGTTACGAGTATCCTGCTCTTACAGAGGACAGGACTTCACCGCCAGCTTTCAGCCACCCCTAACTCCAGCTCCAGGGATCCAACATCCAACCCTGTCTTCTGGCCTCCAAGGATGCATGCATACACACACAGATAAATAAAATCTTAAAAAAAATTTTTTTTCAGGCCAACCTGAGTTACACAGTGAGAGCTGTCTCAAAAATAAATAAGAAAGCAAAAATTCTAAAATAAAAAAAATATAGAGACTGCCAGATTGGTGTCCAGTGTCCACTGACTGTTTTGAAAATGAGGACTTAGAGGACTGAAGCTGACACCTATCTTTTGTTCCCAATTTCTTCCCAAAGATTCGACACCTTTTAGAGGCTGTGACCCCAGAGAAAATTGGTAAGGAGACTCCTCCTGAAGTCACCGCAGAGCCAGGTCAGCTGGGAGGGCCGTTCTGATGAAAGGCACAGGGAGCTGAATAGATAACTCTTTAAGAGGCAGGCCCAGTCAGGCCCAGGGACACATGTCTGTAATTTCACTTCCTTGGGAGGCTGAGGTGGGAAAACTGCAAGTTTATATAACTTAGATACATAGTTTATTTAAACTGCAAGTTTTATAACCTGCCTGGGTTATAGACTGAGTTCAAGGCCAGCCTAGACTGGTTAAGGAAACCATTTCAACATTTCCTTTTTTGGGGGAGAAAAAAAAACAAAAACAAAAACAAAAAAAACAAAAAACAGGTGGACACCTGTTATCCCAGCACTCAGAAAGTAGAGGCAGGAAGACCAAGAGTTCAAAGCCAGGGGCTGGCAAACTGGGTAAGAGTACTGACTGCTCAGACAGAGGACCCAGGTTCAGTTCCCACCATCCACACAGTGGCTCTCAACTACCTATAACTCTGCCTCCAGAGGATCTGATACACTGGCACCCATGTACCCACATAGAGACATATACACATTTACATAATTAACAATTAAGATAAATCTTTAAAAAAGAGTCCAAATGAGGTCAGAATTATCATCTTTATTTTAAGGCTCACAGAAATGAACTTGGAGCCGGGCGGTGGTGGTGCACGCCTTTAATCCCAGCACTTGGGAGGCAGAGCCAGGCGGATCTCTGTGAGTTCGAGGCCAGCCTGGTCTCCAAAGTGAGTTCCAGGAAAGGCACAAAGCTACACAGAGAAACCCTGTCTCGAAAAAAAAAAGAAAAGAAAAGAAAAAAGAAAAAGAAATGAACTTGGAGGCCGAGTGTGGTGATTGCACACATTTAATCTCAGCAGTGGCAGAGGCAGGCAAGGTCTCTTAGCTTGAGGCCAACCTGAAATGCACTCGGAGTATTTGCTGGTAATTAGCCTAGCCTGGGTCTGGCTCTCGGTCTCCAAAGTCCATGCTTTTGCCCCAACAACTTGGAAAGAAGTAGTAGCGCTGCTGTGACTTTGCCACCCCTCCAGACAGGGCCTTAGCCACTGTGCAGTCTCCCGAGATCATCACCCTACAGGAGGCAGAGCCCATACGCATGCTGCGGATCGAGGTGAGCTCCCCCTGAAACACAGGGCTCCAGTGCAGCCCCACCGCATCCCTGTAGTTCTGCCTTCTGTTTCCACTTCCCCCTCCCCCCACCCCGCCCCCTGAGTACCCACTGGGCTTCCTTGGGCTCAACCTCAAAAATCCACTCTCTTCCTCTGTCCGTAGGGGGAGCAGGATCTCCCAGAGGTCAGTCGAGGAGATTTGGACCTGCTGATCGCCGAGGAAGACGACGCCATACTGCTGGAGGAACGGCGGCGTCGGCGAGGCCGGCTGCGGAGGGCTTCCCCGGCACTGGATGGTCAGGTCCCCGCACAGCCAACCTGGGAGTGGACAGTGCCCCGTTCTCCTGTCTCCTAAGTGTACTGATCCTCTCTCCGCAGAATCCAAGGAAGAACCCCGGGCCCTGGAGGGAGATGGTGTGGTCCCCTCACTCTCGCCTCCAGCCCCTGCACAGTAAGGGCAGGAATCCCTGTACCAGGTAAGGGGTCATTGCTGGGAAGGGTTTCCTTATCTGCCTGTCCCCCCCCCCCCCTCCCGCAGGGTTGAAGAGATACCAGAAGCACTTCCAGGCCAGGTCTTACCTCCTGAGGTACAGAAGTTGACAGGCTGGGAGCCTGGGGCCCTCCCCACGGGTGAGTGTCCGTCACCTGGTGATTCCTTGGGAAGAGACTTGGACACTTGCAGAGACCAAAGTCCTTACCCCTACCTTCTGAGGAAGACACCGTCTGTAGCTGCAAGAATGAAGGGGTTAGCCGGGCGGTGGTGGTGGTGGTGGTGGTGCAGGCCTTTAATCCCAGGGCTTAGGATCTGTGTGAGTTCAAGGCCAGCCTGGTCTACAAAGTGAGTTCCAGGACATCCAGGACTACATAAAGAAACCCTCTCTCTGAAAACAAAAACCAAACAAACGAAGACTAATGAAGTGTGGAGATTAAACATCGGTAGCCCAGTCACTCCAGAAACGGGTTGGGGCAGGATTGCCAAAAACCGTCTGGGGCTAGAGTGCCAGACCTTGTGTTGGTGTTTTGCCATGGGTGTTTCGTCCCCTGGAACTGGAGTTACAGACAACTGTGAACTGCCATGTGGGTGCTGGGAATTGAACCCAGGTCCTCTGGAAGAGCAGTCGGTGCTCTTAACCTCTCAGCCATCTCTCCAGCCCCACCAGACCTTGTCTTAAAAAACAAACAAACCAACAACAAACCAGTGAGGGGGCTTATGGGTGTTGTTGCAGAGGTGACCCCGCCTCGGGAGCTGCGTCTACCTGCCCCACCTAGTCCAGAGGTGAGTAGGTTCTTCCCTGAGCTACAGCCTCTTTATCTTCCCTTCCTAAATCTTTGTCCTGAAGCCCATGGCCATTGCTAGTTCACAGTGAGGATTTTGCTTACACAGTAAAAGATGTCCCTTTCTTACCTCATGGTGTGGCTTCTCTTCCCAATAGGAACCTTTGAGTAAGCTAGGAGTTACGAAAGGACCTTACCCAAGCTTCCCCAGACAACTGACAGGGGCAGAGTGTGGGCCACTAGGAGTCCACTGGAAAGGGGAGACGGACAGCCTGACCCTTGCCTCTCCTTCTACTCCAGAAGAGGCTCCCGTCTCCTCTGAGGAGACCTGGCCGACGCCGCCGACGCCGCCAGTTACAATTCTGGGACAAGGAGACTCAGATCTCCCGGGAGAAATTTGAGGAACAATTACAGCCCGGGGTTCACTGCTCGGAGTATGTGAGTGCGGCTCAAGTTCCCCCTAGGGACGCAGGTCTGGCTGGACTTCTGAACTCCCAAGCAGCCCTGGGAGTACAAGAGAAGGCCCTACTTCCTAGAAAGTGCATGTGTGTGGGACTGCAAATGCCCAGCTTATCCCCGGACACCAGGTTACCATCTGCCCTTTTAGCCACAAGCACTGTGGGTCCGGTCATGAGCCTGCAGAGGCCTGGGCCCTGGGAACAGCGGACAGAGGGGCAGTGAGGAGTGGCGCTCTCATAAAGGGCCGCTGGCCTTTCACCCTCTTGCAGCCCGTGGTCCAGCCCGAAAGGATGATCACAAGCCCAGCGGAGCTCTTCAGGACCCCGACCGTCTGTAAGAACGGTGACGGTGGGGCAGGTGGGATCTTCAGAACTTGGACTCCTCGGTCTTATGATTTAAACCTTTCTCTTCGTTGTCAGCTGGCTGGCTGGCCCCAGAACTACTAGCTTTATGGACCCACTGTGCCCAGGTGCCCCCAAGAATGCTCAGACAAAGACCACCACTGGAGCCTGTAGAGGCAGCTGAGGAGAGGGGCGTGGCAGAGGAGGAGGAACGAAGAAAGACCGAAGGGCTGAGTGAGATTGAGGTAACCACCTCCACCGCGCCCTGGAAGCCCCTCGGCTCCGGCAAGCTCTAGCCGACTTCCTCCTGGCGTGCACCAGCTGGCTTACCAGACCAAGACCCTGACTGGTGCTTGGGTCTCAGTTCTTGCTCTCCCACCCGCAGGTTCTGAGGGAGGCCCAGGAGCCCAGTGGTCCCCTCATGCTCTCTTCAGGTAGGCACTTGCACAAGAGGGGCAGGTGGGACCCACTGTCCTAACCCGCCTCGGGAAGCGAGCACCCCAGCTGCTGAGGCTGTTTCTGACAGGGAGGGGCATGCCGAACATGAAGGGGGCACAGACTTGATTCTCCAGGGCTCCCACTTTGCACAAGTCTATACTAGGCTCCGGAACGTGGGGAGGGGAGCTCTGTAGTCCCGAGGACTGAACCCAAGGCCTTGTGCATGTCAGGCAAATGCCTCACCACTGAACTACATCCCCAGCATGGCCCCTTAGAGCCAAGCAGACTCCCTGGTGCTCTCTCCCTCGACAGAGCTCTCCCTGGAAGCAGCTGAGGAGGAAAAGTCCCGGACTAGCCTCATCCCCCCTGAAGAACGGTGGTAAGCAGGCAGGCGGCGGTGGTGCAAGCTCAAACCCACAGCGGCCCTGCCTGTTGTCACTGCCACGGCTACCCACCCCTTCCCTGAGCTGCCTCCCTTGGTCCCCTAGGGCCTGGATGGAGGAGGGGCAGCCAGAGGCCCCTGCACTGCCCATGCTGCCTGAACTCCCTGAAGTGCCCGTGGAGATGCCTCCAGAGCCTGAGTTGCTCACTTCCGAGGCTGTATTTAGGTACCAGAGAGGGGCCCCTCAGGGGGTAGGGCTAGTGTGTCAACCCCAGCTGACAGTCCTCAACCCCGCAGGGCCGTAGCCCTGGAGCTGCAGGCCAACAGGGTACCTGACTTCAGCAGCCTGGTGCCCCCTCTCAGCCCCCGCAAGCTGGCTTCTCGGGTCTTCTACCTGCTCCTGGGTGAGTGTAGGCCAAGAAAGACAGGGGCAGACAGGCCAGACACTGCTACAGCACACTCGTCACCATAGTGACAGTGTGACCTGCCTTCTCCTTTCCCAACTAGTACTGTCTGCACAGAAGATCCTTCGTGTGGAACAAGAGAAGCCATACGGGCGCCTCCTGATTCATCTGGGACCCAGAGTCCAATGAGCAAGTTCATTAAACCATATCCTACCTCACTGGACTTTGCCTGACATTTTTTTTTTTTTTAGAGATTTATTTTTAAATTATGTGTGTATGTTGAACGTGCAAATGAGTGCAGTTGTCTGGGAAGGCCACAAGAGGGCAGTGAACCCCTGGAGCTGGAATTAAAGACAGTTTGGCGCCATCTAGTGTGGGTTCTAGGAACTCCAGTCCCGTCTTCTGCAGGAACAGTATGCCGCCTTCAGTGCTGAGACACTCCAGCCCCTTGCCTGTCTCATTTCTGAACACACACCTCTAGCCTTCGTGCTCTCAGAGCTAGTGTCCAAGCAGGAAACAAGCTGCCTTTATTACAGTATGATGTCATAGCTCTGCTTGTATAGATCCAGCCCCAGAGACACCCGGTAAGACAGCAAGCAGGACTGACTTCGATGATACAGTCTTTGGTGAGATGAGCTGGGCCTGGGCTGACGTAGTCTTCGGGCCTGAGGGCCCGGTGGGAGCCCGCAGTCTAAGTGAGGCCCAGCATGGCCTGGAGTTCCTCAGCTTTGTTAGCGGGCAATGAGCCCAGGGCTGCGTGGAAACTGTCGGCGTGCTGTTTGGCCAGGAAGGTCAGGAGCAGCAGCAGCGCCGCCTTGGTGTCTGGGTAGAGTGTAGAGAGGGGGCCTGATGAGGGACGGGGTTCTGCCGCCCTCCGTCCCCATTTCCCCTTGCCCTTAGCTGTGCCTGTCACCTCACCTGGCGGGATCCTGTTGTCCGCCAGAATCAGGCTGCAGATGCGTAAGAGCTCGGGAGCCACATCTAGAACCTGTGGAAAAGAGCTGGTCAACTCTGGCAGTGACAGCCTTGGGCCCCAGGGCTGAGAGCAGGTGGGTGGAACCAAGGCGAGAAGAAGCCTATGAAACCGTCTGAGCTGCCACCCAACCCAACTGTGAACTCAAGAAGGAATAAAGAAACATGGTTAACAATCTCTTTTCGGAGGTAATAAGATGTGTGACCAAAGATTAAAGTTAGAGCCTCAAAACCAACAGAAATCCAGCATCCAAATACTCCCCACACAAAAAGATTTAAGACAAAAGGTGACACAAGAATACTGGAGCAAGCCGGGGCACACGCCTTTACCCCAGCACTTGGGAGGCAGAGCCAGGCGGATCTCTATGAGTTCGAGGCCAGCCTGGGCTACAGAGTGAGTTCCAGGAAAGGCGCAAAGCTACACAGAGAAACCTGTCTTGAAAACCAAAACAAACAAACAAAAAGAATACTGGAGCATGTGTCCAAACGCAGGTAGTTGGTACATGCAGAATTGTTTCGGATTCCAGTATATGGCAGGGTGGTGATTGATTTCCTAGCCCTGACCTAAGAAATCAGCCTAGGGAAGTTAGGACTGGCTTAGCCCAAGAGAAGTGGGAAAATGCTCCCCGAGAAGCCTGCCCCTACTCTCACGTTGTCAGACTGCCTGCCAACTCTGGGGACAAACAGGAAAAAAGAAGCTGCCACGGAGCTCAGTTGGCAGAAGTGTTTACCTAGTGTGCATGAGGCCCCGGATCTGATCCCTAGAACTGCTAGAATTAAGTATAGTAGTGCAGCCCGGGATCCCTGCACTTGGGAGTGGGAGGACAGATGGGGAAGACTGAGGGCCCAAGGCCATCGTTAGCTATAACAAGCTGGGGCAAGCGGAGGATACAGGAAAGGGAAAGGTGGCACACTCCTTTAATCCCAGCACTGGGGAGGCAGAGGCAGGCGGATCTCTGTGAGTTCAAGGCCAGCCTGGGCTACAAAGTGAGTTCCAGGAGAGCCAGAGCTACACACAGAGAAACCCTGTCTCGAAAAAACAAAAAACAAATGAAAACAACAACAAAAAGCCCCTGAAATCCGCCAGCATCAGTTCCAGTTGACAGTTCCTCTGCCCACCCTTAGACTGAGCCTAACACTCCTTGTAAAGCTCCAGCAGCAGGGTACCTGGTCAGGGTTGTTCTGGTGCAGGAAGTTGAAGAGGTGGCCTATAGTGATCCACTCCTCCATGTCTTCCTTCAGTGGCAGGGCATGTAGCAGGGTAGCCAGCACCTGAACACACAGACATCTCAGGCCCACGTGTCCTGTTCCCGCCACCACCCTTGGCCTCCACCCCTGCCTCACAAGCCTTCCTTCACCTGGGGTTCTGCTTTCCTTGCTGGACTGGCCATCAGCAGACGGGCAAGAGCCCCGCAGATGTTATCACGGACTCGATCATGTCGCTCCCTCGCCAGGAGGGGCAAAAGGAGGCCCAGTACCTTAGGGAAGTGGCTGGCCCCCAGTTAAGGAACACACACATTGGTAGACGTCCCCCTGCAGTAGCACCTCACCGAATCCCTGGGCTCACGTCCAACCCCATCTCCCCTCCTGCAAGCATAGGATACTCCTGAGCAGGGCAGCCCCCATGCTCCGCAAGTACACCCAGCCCAAAGATGGCGTTGCTCCGCACCTCGGGGTCTGCTTCCCGGGCAGCGTTCAACAGCACAGGGAACAGCCGAGACACAAACTGGGCTGAGGCAGCGCCCAGACCCTGAATAGACTCTGCCAGTGTTCCCACCGCAAAGGACTTCTCTGCCACCGTACAGCTCTGTTTCTGTAGGGAGGTTGAAGGGGTACCAATTGGCATGGAGGTGAGGTGGGAAGGGTGCAGCCGCTGGGCGCGTGGCTGGATAGGATGAGAGGCTGGAGGACAGAGCACTCACCGTCTTAGATAGCAATAACGGCAGGAAACTGGCAAAGAAAGGCGCAAAGGATTGTCCTCCCGCTGCGGCTGCCAGGGCAGGGATGGCCTCTCCAGCATGCTCTAGTAACATGGCGTCATACTCTGCCTGTGGAGCCAGGTGAGGGGCTGGAGCGCCAGGGCCCAGCTCTAGGATTGTGCATCTCCCCACCCCGCTCTGTCACTCTGGCTGTGGGTGGTTCTTGGGGTGCCCTTGCGTCACGGACTCACCTGTTTGCAGGCTGGCTCTTTAGAGCCCGGGCCCTCCATTATCACTCCCAGCACTGGCCCAGTGCACACCACTCTCCTTTGAATACCTCACCACCTTACTGGGATGAGGGCGGCACCGTTCCGGCAGTCACCAACTTTTCTTAGCCGCCCTGGCTCCCTCCTCCAGGCTAAGCTGAGGGCACTGTCTACCGCTGGCCCTGCGGGAACTCCATGGTCTAGACGGCTTTCATCTGTAGTTCTCACCTGGTCGCCTTCTTCATCCTCCTCCTCCTCCTCGGTGTCCTGACAGGCTGTCTGTGGAAGACATAATTCAGCCGTCAGGGGACTCTCCTGCCGTCTCCTTTCCACGGTGGTGGTGAGGCGGGCAGAGCTGGACTTGAAGCCTCTGAAGTCCACTCTTCTGGGGCCCGATACCCGGTGCGCCCACAGCCTCTGTTCCCCGCTCACCTTCTTCTGCAGCACCGTCTTGAGCATCGTGCAGAGCTCACTGAGGCGTCCAGGAGGCTGCAGGGCGAGGTTCCCGCAGGTGCGCAGCACCCCTGTCAGGGCCTCCAGCACGGCCATCACCACTGGGCGCTCCCTCTCCACTTTCACTGCCTGCATGTAGGACGGTATCACCCGAGCCAAGGAGGACTGCAGAGCTGGAGACACAAGTGGCCAGAGCCGCGGTCATGCCCTGCCAGGGCCCCGGGCGCCCAGCCTGCTGACGGCTCCTCACCGGCACTGCTGCCTTCTGAAGGGCTTCTCTGACAGGCCTTCTGGAGCGCGCAGCAGAACTGTCCCAGAGCTTCGTGAGCTGCTTTTCGCACGTTCAGATGGGGACACTGGAACAAAAGGGGCCGGTGTGCGGCGGCTGGCACGTGCGAGGCCACGACGACCCTCGCGGGACGACCCTCGCAGGACGACCCTCGCGGGAGGGTCAAGGATTCCACTCAGTGACTCACCTCCAACAGTTTGAACACCTCATCAAATACGTTATCCATGTATGGAAGGAAGGCCACACTGTGGAAAGACACACGGAGTGGGAAAGGGGCCTGGGGACGGTCCCCAGCATGGCGGCGGCAGGCTGGTGCTCACCTGGTGTTCATGGAGATCTCCCCCAGGGCTGTGCAGGTATCTTCTTTCTCGTCGAAGAAGGCGTTCTCCACGCTGTACCTGGGGGAAGGCAGGGAGCAGTGCCGTGAGGGCAGGAGCAGATCCGGCTCTGGGGCCACGTCCAGAAGCCAAGTCGACATTCTTGTACATTTTGTACTTTTGGGTGTTTCAAGACAGGGTTTCTCTGTGTATCCCTGGCTCTTCTCGACCAGGTTGGCCTCAAACTCAGAGATCCACCTACGTCTGCCTCCCAAGTGCTGGGATTAAAGGCGTGTTACCACCACTGCCCAGTTCAAAGTCTATATACTCTTTTTTTGGGGGGGGGGGGTTTCGAGACAGGGTTTCTCTGTGTAGTTTTGGAGCCTGTCCTGGATCTCGTTCTGTAGACCAGGCTGGCCTCGAACTCACAGAGATCCGCCTGGCTCTGCCTCCTGAGTGCTGGGATTAAAGGCGTGTGCAACCTGCTTCAAAGTCTATACTCTTAAGTAGAAGAGCGCCCTACCCCGAGATCTCAGAGTCGTCCTCCACCTCCTCCTCCTCCATGTCCTCCTCCATGAGGTCCTCCTCCTCTCCGCTCTCATCATCAAACAGAAGGAAGGAGCTGATTCCATCATACTGAGGCTAGATGAAGAAAGCAGAGCAGGGACTCTGGCTCGGGTGGGACCGGGAGACCAATCCCACTACAGGGCTAGCCTGGTCTAACCGGCCCAGTAACACCCAGCCTCTGCTCACCACAATGCCCTCGGTGGACCGCAGTGACAGCAGCATGAGCGTGGTAATTTGCGGCAGGTAGGGTCCCAGGCCCTCTCCCATTAACCCCGATAAGGCTGCAAACAGGCTGTACCTGATGACGGGAGAGAGACTCTGTATGGTGCTGCCTGTTACAGACGGACAACATGGGAGAGCCCAGGAAACCTGGCTGTGGTCCAGAATCAAAGGACCGGTATCGGTGGGTGGGCGGGGGAGGCGGGGGCACCGGGAAGGGT